ATAAGGAAGTTAAAAAAATGAGACAATAATTTCGGGACGGACCGAAAAGGAAAGCGGGACAATAATTTTGGGACGGAGGGAGTATTTTATTACCAAAATACAATGCATAGGCAAATCCCCCGGAGCCTCTCCAATGCAAAACAAAGCAAAGTGCGGCCATTTGTTCATAATATTCATCGTCTGAATCAGTCATTCCTATGGCAGGGGAACTGGGGAAGAATGGGATTTCAGATGAAGCTTCACTTCAGTGTCAATGGCTGAAACTGGGTTAGAGTTGCCGGCTTGCCGCTAACAAGGCCAACCCAGGTGAAACCGAAGACTCAAATGCCCATTAAGCTCTTTCAGCCAATGCTAGCTTTTTCGGCTCGCTGCCGAGAGCCAAGGTGGTTAAGGTGGTAATATCAGTGGCGGAGCCAAACAATTAGGATTAAAGGGACCGGTCCTTAACAATTTTACATTGCAGGGACCAAATTTTAAAATATCAACATACTTTCTACAGATTAAAAGTATTTATACATAATATATACTTAAGATTTTTTTTTCTTGCAAGGGCCGTGGCCACCGCCAGCCCCTCTCTGTCTCCACGATCTGTCACCTTAGTCACTTAACGTGCAAGGTTGATTGCCGTTATACTCTTTATGGAATGAATTAACTAGTACGATAGTATTTATATTGCAATTGAGAAGTTTCTACAACATTTTCTTTGTGAAATGTCCAAATTGGGATGCGCTTAATCAAGTTTACATATTAAACCAGGCACACAAAAAGGTGAAAATCATTCCAAAGAGATAACACTATCTAACAACTCCTGCTACAAATATACTAAATCAGTAATACTTTAAATGATTACAATTAAAACGGAAAATTAGTTATAAATAGGTATATAATTTGAGTCTAAAGTCTGTCATGTAGTAAAAAGTACGACTCATCATTATAGCCACGGAAGGATCCATAGATTGAAAAGAGAGAAACCATACAGGAGAACATAGCATAAGAAGCCTGTTGCAGCCGCTATCTGATAATGGTGGCATGCTGTGATCCCACAGGCGGGGAACAGAAAATCTGCTGTACTAGCAGTGGCCGAGGATGCGGCGAAAGACATGAACGCAAACATCTGTTGTCATTGTGGAAGAATTTAGAAAAATAATTCAAATATAACTTTATCCAGAGAAAAGAATACACAGGGTAGAAGAAATATATAAGTATGGATTTTACCCAATCTGTTGCGACAACAGCACGAGTTAATCCAGGTTTCCTGGTTCGATTTCGGAGAATGAAGATGAAGTAGCCATCCGCAACTGCCATTGCCAAACTCCATGGTATCAGCAATCCCATTACACAGGCCAAAAGCCTGCAAGCAATGAGAATATGTATCACACACACTCACAGATATATAAAGAGCCAAAAATACAGGAAGAACAATAATAGAACAGGAAGACATTGATATTATAAATGATCTCATATCTCACCAACAGCACATAATAGTACATTACTTTATCAACAAAAAGAATCCCAAAGTTAGAGAATCTGAACAGAATTATTTATTACGGAGTAATTGGGTTGGGAGTTACGCCCACTCTGTGAAAATGGAAGTAGAAATACACCGCATCTCCTTCTTATCTATCATGTTATTATTTTCTTCACGGAAATAAGAACATTGATCCTTCATTCTCCTTTCAGTTCAAAATCACAAACTCTATTGTTTCCCCACAAATAATAGATGAACCCCAAACCCCAAATTTTATTTAATTTACTATCCTAAATCAGATATAGGTAGCATCAACTAATTTACTATCCTAAATCAGATATAGGTAGCATCAACTAATCTTGATCATGCTTCATCAATGTCTTCTTAATCGTAAGAACTTTTATGCATGCTTGAAATTTGACGAATCAGATTGATAAAAACATTAGCAACAAGAAACTATCCAACAACAAATGAAGAGATCACTGCCCATCACATAAATGAAACAGAGAAACAAGTTTAACCAAAAAAATCAAAATGAGGAGAGTGTCACACTAAGGCAAACATTAATTACCGGAAGGAATAGGAGTTATACTCATTGGAGTCATAGGGGTCAGGAGCAAAGAAGATGATAAGCAGAGAGGCAATGGAGCAAACGGTCAGAACCAATCTGGAAACCAAACTCGCCGGAGTCCCCATTGAAGCACCATCAAACACTCCGTCCATTTTCTACCGTTAAGATTCTCAAGAGTTCCTACTCCACAAGACCACCACTATAGCTACTTTTATAGGTCGATTCGTCACCTGCTGCAATGTTGATACGTTTCTTCTTCCACGGCTAATTAGAAAATAATATAATGGTGACGAAGAGCTCTAGCCTCGGAATTCGGAAACGTTGGTATTTTTACTCTAAGCGTAACTAAATTTGGAAAAAGGTTGACCAGTCTCGAGCTCTCCGCCATTTCCTTTCCCTTTTAGTTTAATGTTTATTTCTGTCACAGGAAATGCTCATACAAATAAATCAAACCTTCATTTTAACAGAAGCTCTGCAACTCGGCCCTCAATTTTATGAGTTCAGATTTGACACTTCAAAAGCTTGATTCCATGATAACAGAGATTCACCTCACACTTAACAATTACCCGCATGTATGTGGATTGGGGAAGGAGCAGCCTTCCAGAGCCGTTGGACTCGAGATGGGACCATGTAGGTTTTCTTCTGCCGAAGAGCCTAAGGCTCTAGTAGGCCGTATCCCTATCTCGTCCATTCCTTCGCACGCGCCGCCTATTGGTGTCGAAACGGCCGGTTACCCGCTAGTCTCCGCACGGCATCAAAGGAGATGACGCCATGACGGCTGCGATGAAGGCTGTTTTACTCCGTTTTTAAAGTACTCCATCCACGTCAAAACCTAGACCAGACCAGACTTAAACAGACCAGACTTAAACAGATCAGACCAGACTAGATTACACTTCCATAGTTATAAAATATACTGAGACCAAACGTTTACCAAACCAGACTAGTTCAGACCAGACCAGACCACACTTTACCAGATCAGATCAGACTAGACTAGCAAATTTCAATCCAAAACAAAACATTCATAGTCTTAAAGAATAACGCGAAATCCATACCAATAATCCATACTTTCAGTTGTTCTACAATAATAATCCCTACCGAAGATATATATAAATAATACTCATAAACACGTCTACATAGATAGATTAGATAAATCTTTTTATAATTAATATATAAGGATACAGTATTGACTTTGTTCACCATTGTCATACATGTGAGTTTAGTGTTTTTTATATCATTACAATAATTATTTTCTTGAAGGATAGTAATCTAAAGTTGAAAAACAGGTAGTTAAAAATATTTAAATTATCGGGAGCGAACCTAGACCAATTAGGAGATTGAAACCGAAGATAAGGCCATGGACCGCCCTATTTATTTAGCACTAACCAGGGTGGGGAACCCGTCCTAAACTATAATGTTTTTACTAACATTTCACATGTAAACATGTTTATATTTTGTCAAATATTAATTTACAAGATATTATTATACCTATAATGATCTCATTTCCGATAATAACAAAGAGTGTCTAGAGTGCAAATTGGGAATTTTCTTGCATTTAATTTTAAATGGTAAAATCGAGTAGTAAACTTCCTTTTTGAGTCGGTTTGGTTCATTTAAGTTGATTTGTTTCAATGTTTGACAAATTTAACATATTTTGATCATTTTCAATTGAGTAAATTTACTCATTTTACAAATTCAAAGGCATAAAACAGACTATCTAGAGTGAGGTCAATTTTGGTCATTTTTTAGTATGGATAAACTTATTAATTATCTGACCACATTTGTGATTGAATAAAATTACAGTATAAAAACGGTACATAATGAAAAATTATGAAATTATACTTATAATTTCCTCTAAATATAGATTAAAAGTTATTTAACCATCATTAAAGGATAGAGAGGGGGTAAGAATATATTTTTGATAGTATAGGGGTGTGATAATAGGGGTGTTATTTCCCTTTACAAATTTTGAAATACTTGTTTAAACACAATATTTGTTATTCATTGGCACATTGGCCTTTCTTGTCACAATATTTTCTTGTCGCTTAAAACTTTTTCAAGTTAGGCTGGCACAGGAAGAAATGGAGAATAAGTAAAAGCTGAACATAAGAGAAAGAAATAACAGAATAAAAAATTAATTAATTAAAAGGGAAAGTAACATAATTTTTTAGAAAATATTGAAAGGAAATATGACCAATATTTTATGGGACCAATGGAGCATAAGAATGTTCAAAGAATTAGGTTTACTAACACATAAAAAAGCAATATTCAATTATGATTAGAAAGGGATGGAGCATAAGAATCTTCAAAGCATTAGGTTTAGTAATACATAAAAAAGTAATATTCAATTACATATGAATAAAAATAGGTTTAGGCAAAAATTTGTTTGGTCTTTTGTATATAGTAGGATAAGCTTAAATGCTTAGAAGGAAGCAATACAATATTTATAAAAGTTAGAATCAAATTGTATGAGCTTAAATGCTTAGTAAAATGAGAAACAACACGATAATGAGAAAATGCAACGCGCATAAGATAGTATTTTAGTATCAAAATACAATGCATACGCAAATCCCCGGTAGCCTCTCCCGTGCAAAACAAAACAAAATGCGGCCATTTGTTCATAATATTCATTCCTCTGAATCAGCCATTCCTATGGCAGGGGAACTTGGGAAGAATGGGATTTCAGAAGAACCACTTCAGTGTCAATGGCCGAAATTGCGTTGGAGTTGCAGCTAATAAGGCTGACCCAGGTGAAACCGAAGACCCAAACGCCCATTGAGCTCTTTCAGCCAACACTAGCTTTGTCGGCTCGCTGCCGAGAGCCAAGGTGGTTAAGGTGGTATGAATTACGATACCACGATCTGTCACCTTAGTCACTTAACATGCAAAGGTTGATTGCCGTTATACTCTTTATGGCATGAATTAACTAGTATTTATATTGCAATTGAGAAGTTTCTGCAACTTTTTCTTTGTGAAATGTCCAAATTGGGATGCGCTTAATCAAGTTTACAAATTAAACCAGGCACACAAAAAGGGGAAAATCATTCCAAAAAGATAACACTATCTAACAACTGCTACAAATATACTAAACCAGTAATGCTTTAAATGATTACATTTAAAATCGAAAATTAGTTATAAATAGGTATATAATTTGAGTCTAAAGTCTGTCATTCAGTAAAAAGTAAAACTCATCATTATAGCCACGGAAGGATCCATAGATTGAATAGAGAGCAACCATACAGAAGTACATAGCATAAGAAGCCTGCTGCAGCCCCTATCTGATAATGGTGGCATGCTGTGATCCCACAGGCAGGGAACAGGAAATCTGCTGTACTAGCAGTGGCCGAGGATGCGGCGAAAGAAAAGAACGCAAACATCTGTTGTCATTATGGAAGAATATAGAAAAATACTTCAAATATAACTTTATCCAGAGAAAAGAATACACATGGTAGAAAAACATAAATAAGTATGGGCTCTACCCAATCTGTTGCGATAACAGCACGAGTTAACCCAGGATGCCGGGTTTGATTTCTGAGAACGAAGATGAAGTAGCAATCTGCAACGGCCGTTGCCAAACTCCATGGTATTAGCAATGCCATTACACTAACCAAAAGCCTGCAAGCAATATGAATATGTATCACACACACTCACAAATACGGAGTATATATAGAGCAAAATATACAGGAAGAACAATAATAGAACAGGAAGGGAATGATATTATTAATGATCTCATATCTCACCAACATGTTATAATAGTACATTAATTTATTAACAAAAAGAATCCCCAATGTTAGAGAATCTGAACAGAAAATTATTAATTGGGTTGGGATTTACGCCTGCTCTGTGAAATGGAAGTAGAAATACACCCCATGCCATGATCCCCCATTCCCTTCTTATCATTCATGTTATTATTTTCTTCACGGACATTGATCCTTCATTCTCCTTTCAGTTGGAAATTACAAACTCTCTTGTTTCCCCACACCTAATAGATGAACCCCAAACCCCAAATTATATTTAATTTATCATCCAAAACCAGCAAGGAATATCCCAAATCAGATATAGGCAGCATAAACTAATCATGATCATGCTTCATCAATATCTTCCTAAATCCTAACCATAAAAACTTTTATGCATGCTTGAAATTTGACTAACAGATTGGTAAAAAAAATTAGCTGTGCTGGTTTACATTCCAGCCGCATAAGCACTCTCCCCCAAAATAACCATCCACAAAAAGAAACTGACAAAGAAGACAAGATCAAACAACTGGGCTAACCAACAGCAAATGAAGAGACCACTGCCAATCACATAAATGAGACAGAAACAAATTTAACCAAAAAAATCAGAATGAAGACAGTGTCACACTGAGGCAGGCTTAAAGTACCAGAAGGAATAGGACTCGTAGGAGTCATCGGACTGAGAGGTATAGCAGATGATGAGCAGAGAGGCAATGGAGCAAACAGTCACAACCAATCTGGAAACCAAACTCGCCGGAGTCCCCATTGCAGCAACAGCAGATACTCCGTCCATTTTCTAATGTTCAGATTCTCAAGAGTTCCTACTCCAGAAGACCACCGCTGCTGCTACTTTTATAGGTAGATTCGTCACCTGCTGCAATGCTTATGCTCCCCCAGGTTGACACGTTGATACGTTTCTTCCACTGTTCCACGGCTAATTAGAAGAAAATAATATAATATTATCCGTAATTAGTAACGGATGTAACGTATGGTGACGAAGAGCTCCAGCCTCGGAATTCGGAAATGTTGGTAGTTTTACTCGAAACGTAATCAAATTTGGGAAAAGGTTTACCAGTCTCGGGCTCTCCGCCATTTCCTTTCCCTAATAGTTTTGTGTTTATTCCAATCACAGGAAATGCTCATACAAATAAATCAAACCTCCATTTTAATAGCAGCTCTGCAACTCCGCCCTCAATTTTATGAGTTCACAAAATTGATTTGACACTTCAAAAGCTTGATTCCATGATAACAGAGATTCACCTCACACTTAACAATTACCCGCATGTATGTGGATTGGGGAAGGAGCAGCCTTCCACTCTTCCAGAGCAGTTGGATTCGATATGGGACCATGGCGGTTTTCTTCTGCCGAAGAGCCTAAGGCTCCAGTAGGCCGCGTCCCTATCTCGCCCATTCCTTCGCACGCGCCGCCTATTGGTGTGGAAACGGCCGGTTACTAACGTATGTGACCACCGGAAGTCTATGTATGGCATCTCCTATCAAAGGAGATGACGGCTGCGATGAAGACTGTTTTACTCCGGTTTTTAAGAATGACCAAATCAGTAAAAACCAACCGCCTAACATATATAGGTAATTAAAAAAAAAAGAGGTAAGAGTCAGATTGATACTTCAAGTTGCATAAAAAGAGTTAAATAAATCCTTATATAAAGGGTTTTGTTCGTCCGTCGTCATTTGGGGTGATTCCCGGTGGAATTTGTTTACGAAATTTTTTGAGCATCTTATTCATTAAGTCTAGTTTACCATACCGAATTCCAGCTAAAACTTCAATCCGGAAGGCATTCAAATGAATTCTTGAAGATAACTGCGCAGTTAATAACGCAATTATCTTCAAGAATTCATTTGAATATTTTCCCGATTGAAGTTTGATCTGAAATTTGGTATGACTGAACTAGACTTGATGAATAAGATGCTCAAAAAATTTCATCAAAAATTCCACTGGGAACCACCCCAAATGGCGGCGGCCAGACAGTAAGGACTTATTTAACTCTTTTTATGCAACTTTGAGTACCAATATGACCCTTACCTCTAAAAAACACGAAAAGGGGGTAAATAAACCCTCCAACTAATACAAAAAAGTGCAAATCACACTTTATCTGGGAGGCTCTATTCGGTCGTCGTCATTTGGGGAAGTTCCCGAAAATTCTTGAAAATTTTTTTTGAGCATGTTTCGTTAAATCTAGTTTACTCATACCAAATTTAAGATAAAAATTCAATCACGAAAGTAGTTAAATGAATTTTTGAAATAAGTGCACATTATTTTGAAGCCTAAAGGAGGATATTTTAGGGCAAGAAATTATATGTTCAGGTCATCTCTTATAAAAAAACTGTAAGCTTCCATACTACTTTATTAAGCCATTTGGACATTTTGGAAAATGCTAATAAGGGTTCTTTGTTATCGAAGAATTTGGTGGAATGTGATGATTTATGTTTTGTTGATCCTATGAAACCTGTTTTTGATAGTTTTGAGTTTTTTTGCTTTACTTTTCGAGACAAATTTGCTTAATATTACTTTTTTCCCTCCACCTATCACTGAAAACATTAAAAGGGACATTATCTATTGTCAAGCGGGTAAGGTTAGGGTAGATGGGGAGGACGAGACTTATGTTGGAAATGTCATGGAAGCATCACCTATTCAGGTCTCATACCCTACGCAAAGCAAACAAAAATTAATCGAGGGTGATCCTCAATCTTCAGGAGAGGATTGTATGCCCCTATCAGATCAAAAGTTGCTTGTTCGTTTAAATGATCCTAACTACAAGATAGCTTCTCAAATTCTGCTTAGACGTGAGGTTGGCGGGTAGTTCTACTTTGCCATTGCAATCTACAATGGGATTGCATTTCATGACCAGGCTCTTTAGGATCTTGCTGGTGGTGTCTATTTTCGGCGGGCAGCAGGCTTCTTATTTGACTATTTTTGTTTCCCCATTTACTTTCTATTTTCATTAGCAGTTTCCTTCAATAACTTTATGTTGTTTCTTTAGAATTCCGTCTTCATTAGCGGATGCACTTTTTATTACTAAGTCTTTTTAAAAATAAAACTAGGTAAGAGTTGCCAAAAAATTTCTGAAAAGTTTTTTTTTAAATCTACTTGTAATAATTTGGGTGAACAAGTAAATTTTTTGACCCAATTTTCAAAACGGTACTATTATAGAATAACGAAAGGCATGTTTACTTCACGGATTAATAATCTTTGTTTATTAAAACATATTTTGTTTAATTTGTTGTTTAATAATAGGTCCTTAATAAACTTATGTATACCCTTCATTGGATCGCATAATGAAAATGTCGGAATACTCCTACTCTACAACCCCAGCCCCTTTCTCTGCACTACCCCTACGTAAACCCCCTGACTAAGCAACAATATACAACATATAATAAGGTGTTCACTAGTTAAGCAGACATTTATTCAAAAAGAGAGTTGTTTACTTCAAATTTGCTAATAAGCTAGCGGTCAAATTAAATGTGAAATAAAGATGTCCTAAATGTATGTAAGGTATTAATGTGATTTATTCAATAGTTGAGGTACAAAAAATTATGTATCAATGGTACTATTAGTTATTTAACCCTCATTTGTCATCTTCCATCAAAATAAACAGGTTGTGTCTTACAATTCGTTTCAAATTAATGTATTTTAATTTATTCCAATTCAATTAAATAAAAAAAGAATGAGAAGAAATGCTCTTCATCCTTGTAAGATGTGTGGCCATATATCATCATATATGTTGTATTAGGGCCTATATATGCATACTAATATATGTACGTATAGTGGGAGGACTGCTCAGGTCCCTCCGGAGGGACGGGAGGGACCGTCCGAACTTTACTGTTTGGGGCGGTTCCCGGTGGAATTTTTTGATGAAATTTTTTGAGCATGTTCCTCATCAAGTCTAGTTTGTCCATAACAAATTTCAGCTCAAAATTCGACCGGGAAGGCAGTCAAATAAATTCTTGAAACTTACTGCACTTTATATATGCGCAGAATGTGCAGTAAGCTTCAAGACTTTATTTGACTGCCTTCTCGGTCGAATTTTGAGCTGAAATTTGGTATGGACAAACTAGACTTGATGAGGAACATGCTCAAAAAATTTCATCAAAAAATTCTACCGGGAACCGCCCCAAACAGTAAAGTTCGGACGGTCCCTCCCGTCCCTCCGGAGGGACCTGATCTTTTCTGCGTATAGTGGTGAACAATTGAACTAAAAGCAAGCTAAGCACCGAATCACGGATTAAAGGATCGGAAGCATATATCTCGAGAGTCCAGCTAGAGAACATATGCTGTTTACGTTTAATTGTCCATTTGTTTCCATAGATAATTATATGGACGCCTTATAGAGTTATAGTATTGGACTATACTACTTAGTTACATTCTACAATTTTCAAGAGATGTTTTTCCCTTGCGGTGAGTTTTTAATATTTGTTCATTTGTTTCGAACACATTTTTCTTGACCCATTCTCATAAAAGGAATTTGCATATATTCTCTAAAAAGATGTACTTGTGTGTTCGTGATAAAGTCAAGAAGACGAGGACATTAATGGCAAAATATATCATACACTTCCGTGTATTTTTGTAATTACTTGTAAACTTGAGGTGGTTAATTACGGAGCATGACATTTGCTACTCTTCCTTGTCTTCCGTTGCTGCACTTCCGTTTGTTCTTTTTTCTTTTCTTAATAGTTAATTTACACTTTTTGCTTATCCACTTATCATTGAGTCCCTATATTATACACCCGGATGTACACATATAATTTTGTAATTTCCATCAATTTTAAGCCCATGTAATAGGGAGTGCTTTTAACTAACTCAGCTCCTTGCCCAATCGATCTTCTCGCCGCCATTGCATGATCGCCCCTATCTACTTGATGGCCATCTTCACATGGCAACAGATTTAGGAAGACACACATCCAGGGACATGGGGTGTGCACGTATCTCATTTTTCTTTTCTTTTTTCTTTTATATCCACATTCCTATAAAGCATATGGAGTATCTAAATTGAATCTTTCTCATTCAAAAATTCTAAATGAGATTTAATTTAATCTAAAACATATATCTACCTCTCATTATTAATGTTTCAATTTTTCTATATTGACTCATAATGTGAATGTTAAGTTCGTTTTCTATGGAATATCTTATTGTTTGTTGCCCTTGTATAAAACCTATGCTTACTTTTTTCTTAATAGTTCTTGACTTCTTGTTATGAACTTGATTAGGTTTCTCGACATTTACAATTTATCAAATTATAAATGTTTTTTTGTTATACAGTTTCTCGACTTTTTGTTATGTTTAAACAACTTTTGAAATGGTTCAGATATGCCTTTCCAGTAATTTAACTTTTTCTACTAAAAAGTAGTAAATATAACTAATTTTATTAATTTAAAGTGTAATATGTTCAATTATTTCATGTGTAATATTGGAATGAGTACTTTGTACAATAAAATGAGTATAACGTGTAAAATAAATGTGTATAGGTATAACATTGTAGCATAAGCATTATAAAGTTTGTAACTAGAATAAGGATTTAGTAAATTGCTATATTTCTCATGGAAAAATCACTGATAATATAGGAAATGAATGTAATTATACTAAGTTGGTTTTTCTGAATATAATTAGATTTGTGGATTATTTGAAAATGAGCTTTATCTATACTTAAATGAGTATCGCGCTTAAAAGAGATGAGCATTGGTATCAAATTATAAAATGAGATAAAAAAAGATTTCAAATGAGTATGTCGCAAAGAACAAATACAACAGTGTCCATTGATATATATATATGTTTTAAAATGAGCACAAATAGCAAATGAGAATATGATACTTATGAAATGCGCACTAATATGACATTTTAAATTGAGTATATGATACACACGGGATGAACATAAATTACGTAAGAAGTGAGCATTGAAAATTTAAAACCTAAACATATAGCTCTAGATCTCATTTAAATACATTCATTAATATTGTATGCTCATTATAAATCTCATCTATTGAGATGAAAATCATAGTTTCTGTTATGAGTATTAATATATTTTTAATGAGCATCAAATATATTCTGTTGAGTATTATGTGGCCAATATTGAGCATCGTAATTTTTATTCATATCTTCTAATTCAATTTCTTTTTCCTATTTTTTCTTTTATAAGAACTTATTAAATTATATACATAACTCCTATGAATTTCAATATGCGAATATAATGTAAAATGCTACTTTTGAAATATTCATTGGTATGACATTTTAAAAATGAGCATAACAATAATATCAAATGAGCAAACACAACTTACAAAATGAGCATTGATATGAAAATCGTAATTTTTTTAGTTGAACATCAAGATATTTCATTGAGCATCAAACCTCTTCTATCGAGCATTAGAATCATACAATTGAGTATCATGATCTGCTTCCGAGTCTATAATATAATATGATGTTTTTAAAATATGCATTGATATAACATTTCAAAATGAGCATAACATCGGTACTAAGTGAGCATATATAACTTACAAAATGAGTATGGTAACATTTAAAAGCTCATT